GGGTCTTTACATATCCATGGGGAGTGCCAACTGCATCCTGAAGCTTAAACTTGATCAGCTTCATATTTAGTTCCTCCTTTTCCCTCTTAATGTCTTCATAACATTTAACACTAGTTAGGTAATTACTTGCTGACTGTCTCCCCAGTTCGTGATCTCCGCAAGGGCAGACCTGTTTGTCCTCCCCTGAATATGACCTCTTTCATCAATTATAGGCGTTCAATGAATGTTTACAGAATGGATAAGTTTTCTAATAATAAGTTTGTGTCTAAATTATTTAGCATTGTACTGTAGATTTTTTTAAGATAAAAAAGTTGTTTTGACTGTCATAGTATGAAAAGTTTCACTTCAGAAAAACATAGCTCTTTCTTCTTTTCATTGATCTCAGTAGAATGTGCTCCCCAAGTTGACAATATAGACAGAATTTATTGGTGACACAAAACCAGAGTGATATTTCTATTATGCTTGAAAGTTTCAAGTTTTGGTCATATGTGAAGGGGACAGTCTCATTCTCCCTGTCCTTTGCCCACACATGGGTATGTCATCTTTCATCTTGCATGAGTTTCCAAAGGACATAGTTTATGCAGCCTTTGAGCATAAAAATACTACTGAGTTAAACAGGACTGGAACCAGTAATAAACTAGTAAATGTATAACAACCAGCTGGGTACAGTGGGAGGAGAACCAGACCTGCAGCACTTGCTGGTTTGTAGGATGTAAATATTGCCACCCTGGCCAATTTCAAGCTGTGTTTAATAACCAACTTGCAAGACTCCCGAAAATTTAACAATTGTCTCTTACAAGCACATGTGAGCCATGTGAGCGTCTGTAGCAAGCCGTTGGCTGTATCATCCCACAAAATTACCCTTCTTTTTCACATACACACACACACACAATTGTGTAGGACACAAAATAAATTAAATTCACTTATAAAAGATACATTCTGTGCACTATAACATAGAAGATGGAAAGAGAACACCTGTAGGTACAACAATTCTGCCAGTTTACTGTGATAAAGTTTGCTTATAATCACTTGATATCCCCATCCTTTTCCCATCTGGAGTCTACCCCAAAGCAATTTCACAGCTGAGACCCCATGTGTTTCACTTTATTCTAAACTTTAAGAAGTCAAATTGCCAGTGTTAAATATCACAATAACACTTTCCTCCCAGTGACTAGGAACAACAGCTTACCTTTCTCTATTCTTCCCTACTTACTGTCCACTACAGTTGATTTATCATGGAATATGCATGAGTGTTTACCACACTGGACTGATGGGCTCTGGGGATTCTGATAGATACAACCCCTGGGTTCAAGGAGCTCACAGCTGGGTAAGGGGATGGGCAAAGACAATTCCAGACAGAAAGTCCTAGGACAGAGGAACCACAGGGCCTAGAGAATTCACAGAATATGTATGTAACACCACCAACACTGAAGAAGCCAACGTTGAATTTGGACTTAAAGGATGAATAGGAATTGACTATGGAAAAAAGAAGGGGAAAGGCAATTCCAAGGAGAAGGAAGAGCCAAGTACAAAATTAAGTGCAGGGAAAGTGCAGTCATGAGGAACATAACTGCAGCACAGAGTGTGGCAGGAGGGAGGGAGGAGTCCTGAGGCTACAGAGACACAGTGGTCCAGGCCAGGGTTCATAAGGATGCTGGTGTGTTGTGCAAAGAGCTTGGCTTTATCCTGAAGGCAATATATCAGGGAGAATTTAAGACTTTTAAATAGGTGAGTGATGGGAAGGATGCTTTAGAAAGATTCTTTGGGCCACAGTGAGGACACTGGATTAGAGTGAGGTAAGAAGAGGTGGAGACACCTGCTAGGGCCATGCCCAGTAATTGACTCTCCTTCCATCACCATTTTCCCCTGAGTCCTCTATCTGAATTCCCTGCAGCTCCCAAGTCACTTCTTTTTATGTTGAAGAAAAATGGTGCCACTCTGTTGTCTCCTTTGGTCACTAATTCCCTTTCAGGCCCATTTGCCCTAAAAACATTACTCAACATGAGTCAGCATTTTGCATCACAAATTTTAGAGAGGAAAAAGGCACAGGCTTCACAAAGCAAAAAGCTAAGGTGCCCAGCACAAACTGAAGCTTTACCAAGGGAGTGCCCTGGCTGTTCCAATTATCTATTACTAGATCATGAATCACCCCAAGTGATGGGATGTCAGACTACAACAGTCATCATTGTTATCTCTCATGGGTGTGAGGGCTGACCAGATTCAGCTAGTCAGCTGGGTTCCACTCTTTATGCAGTTGCTGTCAAACAGTGGTTAGCTGTAGAGATACCTCCAAGGTCTTCTCACTCACATGACTATGGTTGCTGCTGACTTGTTGGTTGGGATCTTGATAGAAGCTGTCAACTGGGACTCTCTATATGGCCTGGACTTTCTCAGAACATGGCGCCGGATTCCAAAGTGAGTGTCCCAAAGAGAAAAATCAGGCTATTTCTAACCCAGCCTAGATTTCACATAGAAACACTTCTGCCACAGTCTGTCTAGTCTTTAAAAGTGAATCACTATGGCCACTCCATAGGGCAAGGGAATAAGAGTTCACCCCTTGATCAGAGAAGGGTCAAAGAATTTACAGACATGTTTTAAAGTCATCACAATCATTTTCACATGTTTGACCAATACCAGGGATATCCACTTTCAAGCAGGAAGTGAAAAAATACAACCATAACTAAAAATTTCTAGAATACACTGAAAGGGTTGCAAAACCTCCTCTACATGGCCTCCGATTGAGATTCAAGTCTTAAGAGACTCAGATGAAAGATAAATACACGAACAAAGGCTGAGATCAGGTCATCAGGGTCCCTCTCAAGAAGCAAACATATACGGGGCAGTAAGAAGAGAACCCAGGACTGCTCCCTTAGCACGGGAAAAGGGCTCATTCTATTTCCAAAGTGAGAAGACTGAAGACTGACAGCAGAATCTTTTTACTTTGAGATATACACATATGTAGAGCAGATTGTAAATACTAGTCACTATAGACTATAGGTTGAATAATTCTCCACAAATTCCTCTTGTCACCTTCACAAGCGCGATAAAGAACACCTCTAGCTGGTACGTATATAGATCCTTGGATCCCAGAGAGGACAAAACTAGGTAAGAAGCTCTCCTAACAGATTTTTCTCTTAATAAGATTTATTTCAGTCCAAGTGTGATATACTTTACACATCTACCTGATAAAATGAAGAATATTTGAAATTCACACAGCTTACAAGTAGGGTAGGAAAAGTTCACCTGGGAAGTGAGAATAGATTAAGAAAGCAGAGGAATGAGCTCTTTGGTTATAGATGCAACTTATAGATGAGGAAAAGGGGGGAAATCAAGGGAAAATGAGCCACTGCAGCAGGAGAGAAACCAAATCAGCATGTTGTCTCTGAAGACAATGAGGAGAGTTTTCCAAGAATAAGAAAGTGATCAATTGGTAAAAAGCTGCCAGGAAGGTAAGAACCGACCGTGGGGTCTGACAAAACTGAAATTGTTAATAACCTTCATAGCTCGAAAAAGAAAAGTTTCTTGGAGTAGTGGGAACAAAAGCCTGATTGAAGTTGACTGGGGGAAGAATGCAAAAAAGTATAAAGAGTTTTTCAAAAGGGTTTACTAAAAGGGGAGCTGAGGTACGGGGCAGTCGCTACATGGGAATAGCAGTCTAGAGGATTTAAGACTGGAGATAACATAACATGTTTGCACTGCAGGGAATGATCCAGTGGACAGAAGTTAATGATGCACAAGATTCAGGAGGTCACTGTGGTGCACAATTCTTGGGCGGGTTAGAAGTGATAAAACCCAGAACGTGAGCAGAAGAATTGCCGCACAGAAAAACAGGGACAGTTCATCCATTGTAGCAGCAGGAAAGGCCCAGGAATATAGATTTTTCATGACCCTATGTGATTCCGATGTGGGTGGGCCCCTGACCACACTCTGAGAAATACTGATTTAGATAAGCACTTCTTATGCAAGGAAGAAAACATAGATTCACTCGTGTGCCAATGGGAGATAAGGAATGGGGCAAGAGATGTGAAGACAAAAAGTGATTCTGCAAAGGGCTGTTTCACTTTGGTGCCATCTGGGCCATCAGCATCACACCTAACATGGAGAGGCAGCTCAGAAGAGGAAGGGGTAATGCATGGTGAGGTTTTGCTCCCACCACTCAAATTGTATCGAGAACCCACTGCAGCCCTCTGCCCACCACCCATTCCTAGAATAGTGTCAAATCCCTTTCCGGTGCTCCAGACTGGCAACGTTTAGCTTTCTTGAGGCCACTGACTGAAATGAAGATCTAATGAAAGTTTTGAATCTTCTCCCCAGAAAAAAAAGTTATCCAGTCACTAAAGCTCTTTGGCTGCAAGTCACAGAACTTTTGATTACACAAACAAAAGTCACTTATGGAAGCATACAAGGAATTCACACATACAAAGGGGAGGCAGACAGATTGATTGAAAATTAGGAATCAAGCAATTCTAAAGTCCCCTAGTTACAGGACTGCTCAGGACACCTCTGCTTGAAAGAATGAAGTCCAAATGATTTGAGTCTTGTATTACTTGTTTCATTACTCAGATTTTTTAAATGTATGTTTAATTAGTTTAACATGGGTCATATACCTAGACCTGGGCTGGATATGAGTGGGGTGCCTCCCTTAAGAGCCTCCCAGAGTGCTTCCAACACAAAGTTGCACACCGAAAGAGTGTAACTCATCCATGGGGTGACGCTATTACTCAAAGAATGTGGAATGCAGCAGACTAGAGTACCAAAAAACCCCAATGTTTCAACTATAGGAAAATATAAAATTTTACATATAATTCTGGAAGGTTCACAGACCTTCTGACACTCATACATGTATCTTCTGGAATTCTCCTTCCCACCAGGTCAAGCACCCCTAGTATAATCATATACTACTAAATACTCTTTGTTATCACCTTATTGAAGGCACAGACCACTGGGTTATTCTGGAAAAAGGAAAGAAAGTGGTACTTTTCCTCCCTATGTCCTCCCACCTCTCTCAGTTGCAAAAGCTTGGGTTGATCACACCCTCCTGAAGGAGAAAGATGGTGTTGAATTGGTGGCAAGACTTTACTGTAGCCCTGCAGTTATGGGTTTGAAGCCCAGTCCTGCCAACCTCAAACTGACAGAACCTCAGCTTGAGATCTTCTCTGAGCCTCGTCTTTAGCCTAAAATTTCCGTACTTGCCTCAACATTTATCATGCAGTTCATACAGTCATCTCAGAATACATTTTGTAAACTATAAAGTTATGAGCAAGTTTTAAATATAATTTGTATATCTATGTAGATATAAACCAATAGATGATATAGATAGATAGATAGATAGATAGACAGACAGACAGATAGATAGATAGATAGATAGATAGATAGATAGATAGATAGATAGATAATCAGGTAGAGTATTTTAGTGGTTGTAAAGTCTGGTTAATAACAGACACACCTAGGAATTTTCTTTTAATTCAAACTATCAGGTTCCTTCCTAGACTTCAGTCAAAATCTCCAGGGGTGAGGATATATATGAAGGCATATGTGAAAAGCATCTCACATTATTCTGCAATTAGCTGGATTCAGGATCTCACCACATTTCAAACCAGAATTATTCATAGTGATCTGCTGTTTGTGGATGATTCTGAAAAAAAAGTCAGTATTACTAGTTGTGAGACCATCTAGATTTTGACTAGATAAAGAAATATATTATTGGCTTATTTTAGACCATAAGGTATAGCCAATCGTACGGAAACAGGGAACCCAATAGCCCCACCGATGTAGTGCCAGTATAGCAATAACTTTCTCAGAACAAATTCTGCTCTCATTTATATGCTAAGAACTATTAAAGTAAGATTTTACAGCTTATGGTCATTTTAAGCACTATCGATTTATGAGTATGGCTGTTTTCACCCTTTCAAAAACTTTGCAGAGAAGTCTATAGCTTCCCACAGTCCTTTAATATGGAGATGATGTAATATATTCATTGGCTGCAGAAAAATGAGAGAAATTAATGAGAATGTAAAATACAAAATAATGGTGCCAAGCTTAGCTATAACAACATTTTTTAAACATTGGATGTATCTTTATATTAAGGTATGAGAATTCAATTTTTTCTCCCATCTTCCTTAGAGGAGAGAGAAAGTGCACAAGGTATTTAAAAATCAAGGCAGAGGAGACATTCCATAAATACCTGTAGTTTCCTCAATCTTCTCCAATCTCAGCTTTGCACTGTTTTACATGAGATCTTAATAATGTCCTCACACTGTTTTTCATTTTTTTAGATGTTAACTCTTATAACATAAGCCATAGATAAGCATGACAAAGGCCCTGTCATCTTTCTTGTAGCGAGTATTCAGTTCTGTTCCTAAAGACAACGTTGACTTCAGTCCTATTCTCCTGAGAGGCTAAAGCAGCGTGTTTCCGCTGAGTGCTTTGTCCCAGTGGCTGCTTCCAGATAGGAGCACCAACTCCTTCCTTGATAACATCTACTAGACAGAAGGCCATCGTAGAGAATGCAAACGCGAAGCCAGGAATACCGCAAGTCAGGATGCTGATCATTTAATTACTCAATAAAAATGTTTCAAGTTTTAACGTTTTAAACAAAATGGGCTAAAAATGTAAATTAATACATGAAAATACCTCCTTGCATAATTAGGGTACCCCCTCTCCATAGGTATAGGTACAAAAGCAGCCCTTGACACTGTGCCATGCAACACTGGGACCCCCTCATCACAGATTAGAAAAAGCTCAGTCTCCTCCTCCTCCTGGATCTCCCTCTTCTGAATGTTCAAAAAGCCACCCCCCCCTCAGACTGCTTTCTGGAATCCAAAGTTCCAACTGATCCACTCTTAAGTCACATTGAAGCCAAGCTCCCTTCAGGCTGCTGGAAACCCAGCAGTAATGAAGGTTGTTGGGTTTCTCTAGAAACTGACACATGCTGCTCTTGCCACCATCATCTAGACAGCGCACTGGCCCCTGACCTTATCACTGATTGCCGACCCTGTCACCACCACAAGAGCTCATCGTCCGTCACCACCTGTAGTGACTTAAAGGGCCACTCCTGGTGGTTCTCACCCTGTTGTTAGACCCTTGAAGCTGGAGGATTCTACCACTTCTGCCGGAAGCTGGTGGCTCTAGATTAGTGGTCCTTAACCTTTCCTCTTGATCAGAGTGACCTGGAGGACCTGTTAAAATACAAAATGCTGATCCGCATTCGGGGTGGGGGGAGTGGGGAGCCGCTAAGAACATGCATTTCTAACAAGTTCCCAAGGGAGTTAATGCTGCTGTTCCAGGGACCATACTTTCCCAGAACAGCAGCCTCGGGGAAGCCCCTTCCCAAGACTGTCTGAAGAAATTCCATTTGTTTCTGTTGTTGCTTCTCTAAGGGCTTAAATCCTGGCTGGTCCACCCTAAAGCAAGAGAGCTGCGTGAGCCAGCACTGTGACAAAGACTCCTGGCTGGACTGTACTTGTTCTTCTTAGAGTGAGAGAGGAAGGTCCTTCTCTGGCCTGGGTTCCTTGCCTTGCAGTTTTAGATTCTGCCACTCAGACACCTCCCCAGGACCCAAGTGTGCCAAAGGTATACATAGGTTCTGGTGTCTACTGCCTCACAGGCCCCAGAAAAATCATTGTTCTTTAACTGTCCATCTTGTCGCCCAAGCCAGTCCTCTAGTTTTAAGTCTATTTACCTACTATAGTAATTTTATCTCATAACTTCATCAACGAAGTTTCTGTACCTACTCCACCACTGGGCCTTACTCAGGACCAACAAGTTTAGCTCAACAGGGTTTTATAACACTGACTTTTGTAGTATCTCAGTCTCTTCTGTCCTGGGGTGTCCCTGGGTTCCTAATGCAATTTAGCTCACCCCTGTCTTAGCGACCTTTGAGCTTCCTGTTTGAGGTACCAGCAAGAGTGTGGCTAACAGCTGCGAATAGATTTTATCACTCTAGATCCAGTTCGTTTTGGGGAAAGATGCATGCACACACACAAACACACACCCAGGGAAAAAGAAGTTACAGATGTTATAGCAGAACTAAGGAAAAACATGCAAGATTTTCCTTTGTCATGAGATTGCTGTACACCCTGGCAGTTTCCTGTATAACGGTGGATTGAGTGTCAAGTTTTTCATGGATCGATAGTTGTTGGCAACACTGTATAACACATCCCAACACCTGAAGCTTAGTACTGAGCACCGTGATGTCAGCGCAAATAGGAGCATCATTACCATGTAGATAAGTAGGCATGTAAATCTTTGTTTTTATGATTGTTGACCTTTATTATTTCAGCATGGTGTTTTATTATATATATATATATATACACTCCTAGTAGGCATGGAAATAAATATTAATAATAACAAAAGCCTTGCATTCTGGCTAACATTTGCTTATTTGATATGTATAGATTTTTAAATGCATTATAAGAGCAAAATGTGCTCAAGGTTACTCATTACCCATGTTTACTCTGTAAAGTGCCTGAAGGCATTCTCAGCATAAAAGGTGTTATATGAAACATTACTTTCCATTCCTGTTGCTGATCTAACGGTTGGAATACCTCCTGGTATAGTTTAAGGTTAAGAATAAGCATCTTTCACAGGCAAACAGCAACGGAGTAGCAAATTAAAAACTAATAAAAGGTAAGATTTTTCTATTGCAGATAAAACTCATATTTATATTAAATAATTTAAAACATTTTAAATGCAACATAAAAATCCCATCAATAATTTTTTAAAATTTCATATGCTTTAAAAACTAGTTTGAATAGTAAGCTTTGATTTTGTTCTCATTCTGTTGTAAAAGTAGTACTCAATTATGCATGGGTTGTGCTTTTAGGAATTTTTTTCTTCTGTGAAACATAACAAATAGTTATAGGCAGAAAATAACCACGTGAAGTTCAAGGAAGCATCACGAAGGGAAGATCTATATAACTATAACCTGGGTCAACAGAGTTTGTCAGGATAGGCAGATTATCCTGCAGGTCAACAGAGCAGTGCCCCAAAGCCAGTATCCCAAAGCCTCCCACCTGTCCACTTCCCAACACCAACCCCGAGCTCCTCCAGACGTAACTACTGTCCTGAACTACACGGTAGTTACCTCTCCGCCTGTTTTCAGAATACCTACCTGAGCTTACATCCCCTAAACCCCAGTGTTCAATTTTGCCTCCTTTTTGAACTTTATATAAAAGAAATTACAAACCTCATATTCTTTTGTGTCAGGCTCACTTAACCCTGTGTTTGTGAGATTCATCCAGGATGAGTACATAGATGTAATTCGGCCACTTTCATTGCTGTGAAGTATTCCATGGTACAAAGTAACACAAGTTATTTATGCATCCTGTTGTGGATGGACATGTGGCTCGTTCACAGTTTGAGACTGTGAAACGCTGTAGGTGTTTGGAGCAGTGTATTTTTCAGTAAGTCAACAGCAGTCAGAAATGTCCTAGGACACATCCCAACCCCATGCTCTCTGCATTGAGCACTATGAGGCCAGCACAGGTGTGAGCCTCCTTACTAAGTAGCCTCATCACAGGTAGTCCCCGTACATAATTCTTGGTACAAACTTGCTAGTTTTTCTGTTGAGTATACAACTGGGAGAGGAATTTCTCAGTTGTAGGGAGTGTGTCCTCAACTTCCCACAGATTACACCAGAATATTGTATTGGGCCCCCGTGCGCCTGGGTCGTGGAGCGGTGGCTCGCGGTCACCTCTGCAAACGGGCTTGGTGGGTGGCCTAGCGTCCCCATCCCCGCCACCTGTGATCGCGCGCTGAGGCCCGCGAGGGGTCACCGCCGAGGTTTCCACCAGCCCGCAAGCAGGAGCCTGGCAGCCACTCTCTCCAGCTGCTGCTCGCGGCCACCACGACTAGTCCCGGTGCCGCCTGGACTCCACTTCCAGTAACAGCTCCTGTGGAAGTGCGGGGTACCCTGGGGAAGCCACCCCCCCAACACCCCGGTCTCCCCAAAGCCGCCCGGCACACTGCTGGGCTAGCTTCTTTCTCGGAAAGTCCACTCTCCCATTCATGGCCACAGTGTTGGAGTCCCCAGAGCACTCGGAATCGCCCCAGACCTCCACTGGCGCGATCACCTGTGACCTGGCTCGGGAAGCCACGGGGAAGCAGCAGCCCGGCGGCCAGCCTGGCAAAACCAGCTCCAGGCCCCGGTCCTGAGTGGCCGCACCAGCTGCCAGGCTTCCTTCCAAGACGCTGGGCTGATAAGAGCCCCCCTCTCCACCACTCCCCTCTCCGAGACTGAGCAGGCTGCAGCCAGCGGAAACAGGTTCTTTAATACCAAGCCACATGAGAGCCTTCCTGACACCTCATAACCCTGTGCCTGGCACCAAGTTGAAAATACACGCTTTCACCAGCATTAAATAAAGTTCCTGTTGCTCTTTGTCCAGATCTCAGCTCAGATTTTATCTCTTGAGCATGCTTTCCTGGTCTTGCTAGTTAAAGTAGCTGTCTAGTTAACTCCCCCACCTCCATCCATCCTCTTACCCTTTTGTCCATTACTCTAATTTATTTTCTTCCAGCCACTGCCCGCTATCTGAAATCATCTTATTTTTTCCTGTTCTCGCCCACTGGGAGGTACGGTCCATGAAAGAGGGACTGTATCTTGCCTGTGTCTGGCACATAAGGTCTGGGACATAATAGACTCTTGATAAATATTTGTTGAGTGGATAGTTGGGAACTTTCTGTATTTAGTAAATATTCACAATAATGCCAGTAGAAAAGATTTTACAGAATATAAACTTTGAATCTCCTCTTTGCAAGGAGCAATTCTTTTTGAATAAAAGTGTCATGCTCCATGTAATATGTTTAACAGCCAGTGTTTGGGGAAATAATTATCCATTTAGATTTTTCAGTAATAGGGCCCTCATGACATGTGTTGCATAATTTTTCTTGTCTCATGAACACAGTGGACAGCAGCAATTCATATCCACAGTGAGAAAACAGGTGCCTATAAATCAAGGCTTCTTTTTTTTTAAGTACAATCCATAATAATCAATTGACATGCCTGCTATAAATAATAATGCATGGTTTCTCAAGGAACCTAGCATGTAATTGCTTCTCTGGTCTGAGGAAGCTATAGGGCTGTGATTTTTTTTTTTTTGATATCTACAGAATCCTTCAGCCAACTTTACTGTCTTGTTTTTAGCCAGCACTTGAGATAAAGGTTCATGAATCTTTATTATGCATCCAGCCTCTGGGGAGTGGAGAAGTAGTAGCGTGTGACTTTTGGAACATGCCAGCCCTCGCTTTGCATTTCTACTGTAAAGCCACGGTGACAAATACCCAGTGAGGTAGCCAACCGTGAGCTCCTTCTGTGTCCAGAGCCATCCTCAAGAGAATCCAAATACTTGAGACAGGCAATGATTTATTAGACTATATTTTCGCAAATACAACACACACACAATAAACAGGCTATCCCAAAAGCCCCAAATCACCAAATACTCAACCGATGTGGCTGCACATTAGAGAGGGATGTTTATGTTCTAAGTCCTTGTCTGGTCTATAGTTTCTTTTTATCAGGAGAGCTGGTCATGTGACCTTACTACTCCGGCTACAGTTAACTGGAACAAGGATGGGTCCTTGACGCAAGGCTGGCAAGGGACACTTGAAACGGCATGAGACCTCTGCTAACGGAGCTACTCTCTACCAGGGAAAGTGGGCAACTAAATAAATCAGGATCTCTCTGCTGTAGAGTTTAAATGCAGGGCATGTGAGCGTGAGAGGGAGATGGGGAAGACGCGATAGAGTATGTGAGTTTAATTACATAACCTGGGAAATGGAAATCACAGTTTTATTTCTTCTATAATCCTCCAAATATTAAAATTATTCATGAGGATAGGAAACAAAAACTATGAGCATTATCTCATGCAGAGATCTCCTCATCTCTGATTTAAGGCTTCTGCCTGAACAATAACAAAACCATCAGTAGAGAGGAAGAGCAGAGCAGACAGAAATCCAGAGAAAAGGCAGGAAGAATAAGGCCTGAGGCAGTAGAAACCATAAACAAGCAAAAATCAGGCAGCAAGTAGGAGAACAGACAGTACAAAAGTTGTAAGGGCTACAGATGTAACTGTAAAGGGAATAAAAAAGCAGAGTCATAGTGGTGAGATATTAAGATAAATAACAATACTGCTAAAGAGACAAAAACTATCAGTAGCATCACACTGAATCACAAAGTTCTTACACTTTTCTGTAAAGCCTGATTATGCGGCTGTGGTGTTTACTGATCTTCCTCTCATTAAAAATTTGGTGCACTCAACAATCACCTGAGGTGAGAACCAAAAATCTATTACCCCTTGGAATCTTCATTTTATATGTCTGAGCCTGATAGTCCAATGAATCACCCCTTAAGAAACATTAATCCAAGATATCCTGAAGTTGTATATATTCCTCGAAACGGGAAAGAAAAATTTACCTTAAATAGACCCCACGTGTGACTTTAACTTTGCAAATATAACCCAGAGTTGGAGCATTTGAAACACATTGCTGTGTTAGTTTTGTGATTATTTTCACATTAAATCTTATTGCTAGAAATGCAACATTTCAAGTACTTCAAGATAGGGCCCTCCCCATCTCAATCTCGAAGGATTGTATCATACTTTTCTTCTATTTCCTCCAAGAATTCTGCTCCAGGCAAATTCATGGATTCCCAAACATGGCTCCATTTTTTTCACGTCTGAACCCACCCATATGCCCACCCACCCTATCCCCACTTCGGGGAACAGTGAGGAAGGAGCCGTGGGGGTTGGCCTGTGTGGAATGTTGGCTAAGGACAATGTTGGGTGCCACAAGATTGAGTCTGGGGGCTGAAATGGAAACTAGAACTTCCTGCTAAAGACAGGCCAACAATTAAGACAATAAGTCAAGTCAATGTCTACTGTCTACAGAGTTTTAAGACCAGAGAGATTAAGTTCAAAACTAATGCAGAAGCTGGAGGCAAGAATCGAGGCAGAGATCTCAGAGCTGGAAGGGTAGAACAGGGCAGAAATCGAGTCTGAGTGAGAAAGTACTGGGAAATTACAGCCAAATGGCACAGACACCATCGGACAGTCACAACTTAAATTCCTGGGCTGATGAGTACATGGTGAATGGATGATTCAGGCCAGATTGAAGACCCCTGTGTATTAAACCATCTCCTAAAAACCTGCTTAAAATTCTCAGATCCTTGGAGGGCTAAGACGTTTGCCAAGGCAGCTCTTGCCCAGGCACCGGCACCATCAGTGGACAGAATTTCTTTATGCCATTTGACTGGTAAATATCATCTACTTGTGGATTGATATCTCAATATCCTTACCTGTAAAATGGGAATTATAATAGTACCTAACCAATGAATTAGTGAGGATTAGAAGAATTAATACATGAAATGAGATCACAGGTATGTGCCTGGCACTCAGCAAGCACCCAAAAATTGTTGATTACTGCTGCCACCATTGTTGTTGTTTAATTGTCCCTGCTGCTATAATTAACTATCATCTATGTACAATCAATTATCTTAACATCTTTCTCCTTTATGCTGAATCTCACGATGCTGACTTCTTGCCAAGACCATGTCACATGTGTTGGCTGTTCGCCTCTGGATGCTATATTACAGACTGAACTCTCTTTCTCCCAGCAATTTCCCTGTCTGATCCTGGTGTCTGACCTATACTGTGGTCTGAATGTTTGTGTCCCCCTCCAAATTCATACATGGAAATCCTAACGTGATGATATTAGGAGGTAGAGCCTTTTGGGGGGTGATTAGGTCGTGAAGGTGTAGCTCACATGAATGAGATGAATGTCCTTATAAAAGAGGCCTGAGAGACCTCCTTCACCCCTTCCACCATCTGAGGACTGAGGATACAAGAAGAAGTCTGCAGCAGGAAGAGGGCCCCTACTTGACCAAGCTGGCACCCTGATCTCAGAATTCCCAGCCTCTCAAACTCTGAGAAATAAATTTCTGTTATTTACAAGCTACATAGTATGTTGTAGCTGCACAAATGGACGAAGACAACCTACCACCTACTACTTCCTGAGAGTTTTACCTGTCCGGCCAGGTAACAGGTCGTTCCCACTCGTGTCCCCAGATAATACAAATTCTTCCTCCCTTCCCAGACCTTTTTGAAGGCCTAACTCAAATACTTCCTTCTTCATAATGCCTTACATAACCTAAAGGGTTTTCCCCACTCACCAGAATGCCTACTACATGTACTCTGAATAATTAATTTGTCAATTAATCACTGACTGCCTTGTGAAATCCTTTCAACGAGTCTCTCAAGTTGTTATTTAAATCATGTATTATTATTTAATTTATCACACATCTGTCTTGTGTACCCAATAAGACGGTACTCTCCTTAGTGACAGCAACTATATCTTACTCATCTTTGCATGCCCCACAGCTAAGTGCCTGCTTTGCACAGAGCTCAATAAATATATGTGATTTGATTTGAAATGCTTAAGTTAGAATACCATAAAGACTACGCTGTTCCACACTCTGAGGAAGTCATTAAGATTTAAAGAGGCCATTAAGGACTAATCCCATAACTGAGAAGAGAGTAAATTGCTTACTTTTAGGCAGATGTGCTAACTTTCTAGGCCACTGAGGTTCTGTTGAAGCAATTTACTAAAGGTAAATTACTAAATGGATCCAGGTAGCTCAAAAAGGTTACTACCTGTTACTTCCTCATAAGAAGTAAGCTGTGCCTCCCTTCTCTGCTCTGAACAACCTCAGCCTAGTCCCTCTATTGTTTATAAGATATTCAAAATTACATTTACAGCAAGTGACCATTTGGACTGAATTTACATAGCAGAACAGAGCAGTTGTGTAAACTACAGGATTGCAATGCACTGCTGCTACCAAATTGCTACTGACTTGCCATGATACTAACATCATTCTTACCTTCTTACCTCTTGTTCTCAAATGCTCATATGTAACATGGGAGAAAGGAAAAAGAATGAATTCAATTGCATTCACTGCTAATTGATGCTGGAACTGCACTCAGGAGTAGGGATACAAAGAAATTTAAAACATGAAAACTCATACCTGCTTGGTGGCACTGTCATCCTAGTTGAAGGCGAAGGGCCGGGGAAGGGAGTGGAATGAGAAATACATAAGCAGTTGTGCAGAGTGTGCTATGTCCTGTAAGAGGGATGCTTGCAAAGTGTTCTGGGAAGAGGAGTGAGGAGTCCT